TGTGCAGGAGGAATTGACTCCCTTTAGAGGTGGTGAATCAGAAGCATTAAGGAGGTTGAGGGAATCATTAAGTGACAAGGTATGATGTAAACATCTTATCTGCCAGCATTGAGTTGGTAATAGCAATACTTAAATATCTAATATGGAGTTTAAGTTTTAAAAAAGGCACCTTTTTGTTGGAAGAGGGAAGTAATAAAGTTTTATAATTTAATTTTTGATTGCTAAATCTACCATTGTTTTTTTTTTTTGAAAAGAAAGCTACCATTTTTACTACATTAGGTAGATATATGATAGATTACAGTGTCATTAGTAAGAATTACACTGTGGTTTTGGGGCAATCTTCAAATGCTTTTGGTCAATTTCTTTTATTTTACTTGTTGTTAATTCAGGGCTCCTGTTTGCAAGTGAGTAACTTGTAATAAAATTTGAATTCATTTTTGTTGACTAATGTAACTGTAATGAACTTGTATGGCCAGAAAATGTGCCATTTGGTAGGTTAGATAAACCCTGAGCTTAATGTGGTTTGGGTGAATACGAGGCTTGTGAAATGTCTTGCATATATGTTTGTGATGACGTATATCAAGCTCAGGAGGAAAAGTTGTCTGTTCTCTTGGTAATTGTGATAACTTCACCTCATGTTTTTTTGATGGCTTTTGAGAGGATGATTTATAAGTGCCTGTTAAGGAAACATGAAGGTCCCTGTGGTCATCATTTTGACTTGTTATTCTATATATTTCCTTCTCGGCTTTGCGAGGATGATTATAAATTGCTGCTAAAACATGAAGGTCCATCCGGTTTGTCATTTAGTGAAACTGATTTCATGTAAAAGTCCCTTCACTCTTCTCATTGGATTCAGAATTCTAGTTCTGTTCATCTTCTTTAAATGAGTTGTTTGTTGCACTTTATTGATATGACTACTTTCTTTGTACTGTAGGAATGGGTGGCCAACTTTGAGAAACCTAAGGGTGACCCTTCTGCATATATAAAGCCTGCAACGACTGTTCTATCACCTTACTTGAAAGTAAGTCAAAAAAACATTGAATGATATTGCTAAGCACTTTCCTTTGATTGTAAATTGTAATATGTAGAGAGAAATTTTTAAACAGAACTCATCCCTGCATCACTTTGCAAGAAGAGGGTAGTAAATTAACAGTGATACTGGCTCCTCTCTCTCTATGATCTTTCTATATTTCTGATGCTTTTGGCAGTTTGGTTGTCTTTCTTCCAGGTACTTTTACCAGTGCCTTAAAGATGTCTATAAGAATGTCAAAAGGCATACATCACCACCAGTTTCCCTTGTTGGACAGGTTACTTACCTCTTATTTATCACTCAATGGGGCTGTGGTGAGATTATTTGTTGTTTGGTCACCCTTCATTTTCCTTTCAAAAAGTTAACAGCTAGTTTCAATCTTTGCAGTTGCTATGGCGAGAATTTTTCTACACTGTGGCCTTTGGAACCCCTAATTTTGATAAAATGAATGGTAACAGAATATGCAAGCAGGTAAGTGTGTCTAATGCACTGCACTAAACCTCTTTTCACAGGTCTGCTTCTGTTTGTTTCTTTCTCCCTTATTCCTCTTAGGAAAAAGATAAAAAAAGGGAAAAGGTAAGGAAACAAAATAAATGAAAACCAGATGATATCTATGTTGTGGATAATGGTTATTTGCAATGGGGTTTCATATAAGCTTGCAACTCTTATCTCCATGCATTCAAGCCCAGTTTCACTATAAATTGCATTATAGTTCCAAACAAACTGGTTATTTTTTCCTGAAAGACTTTGGCTGTTTCATGAGAAAAATAAAACTATCATGTTGAGGGTGATGAAATTGCTGAACATCTGAATGGTTTTGCTTATCAAAAGAGTAAAGGAAAAAAAGGGGGAATGGTTGTGATTCTATCTTGTTGTTCCTATGATCAGTTCCTCTTGCTTAGATCCGGTGTTATTCACTTATTCTCACTCTTTCACCTCTTGGATTATATTTAGATGTGGCTATGTTGAAATTATTTAATTTGTTCCCATGTAGTCTATACTATTCCATGACAGCAAAATTGAAACTTCTAGCAATTCATTTCCACGTTAAAAGATGTTCATTTATTTCATGAGTTTGTAACTGTCATGTTTTAGGTCTGTACTTTAAGCCTTGCTGAGATGCTATTTGGTGATTCAGATTCCATGGAATGATGATGATGAACTCCTAGCTGCTTGGAGGGAAGGTAGAACAGGGTACCCTTGGATTGATGCTATCATGGTCCAGGTTTCTGTGGCACAACTTGCAGCATTTATATAATTTTTTGCACATTTTGGTGCCATACTTAGAATGTGGATTTTAATTTTATAAATATGTGCTGGTTTAGCTACGGAAGTGGGGTTGGATGCACCATCTTGCACGGCATTGTGTTGCATGTTTTCTAACTCGTGGAGATCTGGTATATTACTTCAATACTTCTGCACAGTTCTTCTTTCTATCCTTTTCTCTTGACATGAATCAGATTTTTTGCTAGTTTCTCCATTGGGAAAAAGGGCGTGATGTCTTTGAGAGACTTCTGATTGATTCAGATTGGGCAATAAATAACGGGAATTGGCTATGGCTATCATGTTCATCATTCTTTTACCAGGTATAATGCATTTATATATTTTATCGTTTTCATGTCTTGTAATGGGGAGTGACTGGCACCATAACTAGACTAATGGATTAGTTCTAGCAGAGTATGTTGATGGAAATTGATGCCATAAAAATATTATTGTAATTACATGACTTTTAGATTATCTATTGATTAATGATCTATGGTTAGTGCTAAATGTGTTCACTGAATAATGTTACTTGTCAAAGGCAGGTGGTTCATAATAACATGATCCGTTTTTTATTAAATGTTTTGAAGTAGTAGTTGTCTATTATATGGCCTCCATCTTTGATTTGTTAGTCATCTGAAGGGATGCCTAGGATGTTGGTTCTTAGAGTCAGGTTTTGCCCTCCAGAATTGCTGCTAAATTTTTCTCTTCAATTAATCTAACCGAAGCGTTCTACATTCAATGATTGTTGTATGGAACAGTATAACCGCATATATTCCCCTACATCATTTGGAAAGAAATACGATCCCAATGGTAATTATATTAGGCTTTTTCTCCCCATACTGAAAGGTATTGTTCAATTCTACCCTCATCATCATCTTTGAGCAAGCTTTCACGTGTTATATCTAATATATGAACATTGTGAGTGGTTATCAGACATGCCAAAGGAGTATATATATGAGCCTTGGACAGCTCCTCTAAGTGTTCAAAACAAAGCAAAGTGCATAATTGGAAGAGATTATCCAAAACCAGGTCTGTAATCTCATTGTGGTTTTAATTACTTGGTTGTTCTATTTATTTTACTCTCAGCAACAAACTGTGGTTCACATGAACTAGTTTCATACATGTTTGATACCATGGTTTGATTTATATACACTGGTAATGCTTTCAAAGTCCATATGCATAGCTGCTGAGTGATGCACTCTAACAAACACCAAATAAGAGAGAGATACCAAGGGTCAAGAATCAAGAAGCTGTACCTAAAGAGAAGGAACATGGCTATGTGGAATATAAGAGTACTAGAGAATTGGCAAAAAAAAAAAAAAAAGGAAGAGTAATTGACAGACTGGAGAAGTGAGGGATAAGTTAGAAGTCTAATCATAAGAATGATAACGTGGGCTGTTTCCTATGTCAAGAGTTGAATTGACAAATGGGGCCATTAGTTTTGCATACTTGTCAGATACAGGGGCATTATTTATTTGACTTTTCTTGAGCAGGCTTAATATGTTATCAGCTGTAGTGGCAGATCATATTAACTAAATCAATTTCATCCGATTCCTAATGCCTTCAATAGCAACTTGGATTGTTTAGTACATTGTAAACGCCAGATACAGGCCAATATGGTATTTTCTTGAGGTTTGCTGTTTTATATAAGAAGGTTTATTCAGATACACTCTTTTGCTTATTTCCTTGCAATTCATTCCAGTGGTATCTCATGATTCGGCAAGCAAAGAATGCAGAAGGAAAATGGGGGAAGCTTATGCCCTCAACAAGAAATTGAATGGTGTGGTGAGTGAAGACGATTTAAAAAGCTTGAGAAGGAGATTGGATGAAGATGGAGGGCAGGAAGCCAGAGGTAGAAGGCAAAGACAAAAGCTGATCAGCTGAGTTAGAGAAGACATTCTGTTTTAGTCATGATGGACCCTGGCACTACTAAGGACAGGACAGGACAGGTTGCATAACAAGTCCCCATATCAGGTTATAGAGTTTGTTACGACAACTAAGAATTTTGTTTATGCAGAGTATGTATTATATATATATATATATATATATATATATATATAAATATATCTACAACAGCAACGACAACCCTAATCTATTAACTGGAAATATAGTATTTCTTTAGATTTGAATCTCTCAATTCCCCAAGTTTTGAATAGCAAACCTAGTCCAAGTAAGAGCAAACCAGTCTGCAAGCAAGCTATTTCCTCGTCAAGGATTTAACAAACAGGAAATTAAATGATACTTAAACCAATTCTTGAATTATTTAAAAAAATATTTTTTTATTATTTATAAATAATGATTAATTAATTATTATTAATAAAAATTTTACTTTTTAACTTTATTCTATATGATCTTGACATGTTGTAATAGAGGATATTTGACAAATAATCAAATCTTAATTATAAAAAAATTAATTTAAAATAAAGTAGTATGAAATATAATAAAATAATATAGATTTATTTAATATTTTTAAATAATTTAAAAAAATTTTCAAATATTATATCAAAGGTGTACGATCTTAGTTCGGATCGTTCTTCCATAAAAACGGATCCCTGGAAAGGGCAACCTTTTCCGCTGACATTGCAACAATCATTCAATAAAAATAAAAATAAAAATAAAAATTAAAAACCCAAAAATTTTCCACAAGGTTCGCACGTGAAACGGAATTGGCATGTGCCAAAACGACCCAACGAAACAAACAGCGAACCCCAGCATCGGCAGCCTCCTCACCCACTCTTTGAAACCTCATTTCCCATTTTCCCCATTTGTTTGCTCTGAAAGACAAAGGGGGCAGAGAGTGGAAACAAACTCCAATCGGTTTTCTTCCTTTCTTTCGTTCTGGTATTTCTCAAACGAAGGCGGGGCGTGACCTGAGATCAGCAAAGCCACTCAAACTCTAAAATCTTGGATTCACGAACATGTGGAGAAGGTTAGTGACTTCACAGCTCAAAACCCTAGCAGCAGCTCCATGCCGATCCGCTCCTAAAACGGCGCCGCTTCCATTCAAATCTCACATTTCTCCATCCCCTTCCGCTGCTCTCCTCATTCGCAACTTCTCCGTCGAATCAGGTCAATCTGATTTCCGTAGATCCTCGTCATCGATTCATTTTGATTTCAAGCTTTACACCCGTCAGATAGCCTTTTTAAATATTCAATTAATTATGAGAATATTCTTGATCATTAATTGATGTGCTTCGAAATTAGATGAAGAGATTAAGTAGATTTGGTTTTTATGGAAAATGATGTTGTTGTTGGCGTATCCAATATTGATTTCTTGTTTTTGTTTTCAATTGGCTTGGATTGTGTAGCGGATACTGCTGTGAAGAAGAGGGTTGAGGATATAATGCCTATCGCTACTGGTCACGAGCGCGAGGAGCTTGCTGTTGAGGTTGAGGTGATTTTTCCTCTTCCGCTCTCTCTGTTTGGTTTTAAAATGTGACAGCTTTCTTGTGACGTTACTCTTCTACTGTTAAAGATTCAAATTGTCAAATATATTGTTATTTGCTTTACGGCTAAATTCAATTTACTGCTCTCTCAGTTTTCAGGTAGGTGATTTCTCATTCTGTTTTTTCTTTTTTGCGTTATTTTGTTTAGGGAAAGAAAATCCTTGAAGATGTAAACTATCCTGAAGGTCCTTTTGGCACAAAGGTTAGTATTAGGACCATGTGCACGTCATCTTATAACGGAAGATGGTTGTTTGAAATACTAACAATTATCTCCTCTTCAATTTTTTTTTTGATAGCATTGCTATAAATTACTACTATGTTTTACTTGCATTCATTCTTTTATTCTGTTTGTATCTGTATGGCTTAAAGTACTTGGGTGTGTATGCATTTTTATTTAAATGGTTTACCTGATGTTGATGTATCCTGTGACCACTTCTTATCGTTATTTTGTTGATCTGATGTTTCATAATGTAAGTAAAAGTGTATCAAAAGATGTTGTGCTTGAAAACGCGCTAGGTTCATTGTTTGGTACTGTTGACACATCTCTTTTCGATGTTGTTAACTAGTTGGAATTGCCTAGTGATTCGTTCCAGACTTCCAGTTTATGTTAGCATGTGTGCTGTCTTTTGGCATTTGATTCATTTTTAGATTTGAGCAATGAATATTTGGAAGCAACTTTTGATATCACTTAGTTTAGTCCGTAGGTTTAGTTTTCCTCAGGCAACGGGTCTTTTTTTCTTCAGCATGTCTTCTCACTGGTGGCCCTGGTCACTGGTAGACTAGGCCTAAGGGGAGGGAGATGTTGAACTGTGAACATTGATCTCCATGGAGGGGTAATAATCCATATGTGAAGCCTGGACTGTTAATATTTTATTTTTCAGCAACATTATTATGGTATGGTTCACTCTGCTTCCTGGATAATAGTTCTGCGACTTTTGGGACGCTAGAATATTAAAGATATCATGCAAAAGAGAGAAAGAAAAATTGTTTCTACGCTCAATTTTTTTTTTTTTGTTCTGGATGTGTTAAATTTTTGTACCTCAATGTTATTCTACTATATATATGTACTGCACGTTTTATCCATTTACCACCAACCCCTTTTTGAAAGGCTGGTCCACTATGAGTGATCCCACTTTTGAGCTGTCTGTAATAACTGGAGTCATTGTATATGTAAGAAGTCTAGCCATTTTGTAGGGCCTAATAATCTTTTTGTGCTAGGTAATATTATTACATGCATGATGTTTGAGAATTATCGTGGATATTTTGCAGTTTATTTTAAATTGTCTCATTTGAAATCATGTTTGGAAATTTATCATTTTGAGTTTGGGCCTCTATGTTATGGTGATAACACCCTTTTTTAGCTGGAAACTGGAATTATTGACCTTTATGAAATTATAAGATTGATGTCATGATATGACTTTTGATGGTAGAAGTCATTTTATCTGCTTGTAGGAAGCTCCTGCTGTCATCAAGTCCTACTATGACAAGAGAATAGTTGGATGCCCAGGAGGTGAAGGCGGTAGGTTCTTTTGATCACTTCTCCGCTGCTGCTCTACTAAGTTCTAACTGTGGTTGTTAATGTTTGCTTTTTCTCAGATTTATACAAAATTGAGTCTGCTTGAACTAATACTTGAGTTCATTTGATTTGCTTATTTAAAAAATGCAGAGGATGAGCATGATGTTGTCTGGTTTTGGCTGGAGAAAGGCAAGCCACATGAGTGCCCAGTTTGCTCACAGTATTTCATGGTAAGTGGATATCTTGAATTAGGAAGCATTCATTCCTTATGTCCTAACCTTGAGTAGCTATATTTGAGCTCACATCTAAATGTCAATTTCTTTGCGTTCATTGGATCCGTATCCAGTTTAGTTGTTGCTGTTAGCTCATACATGGATTCACCAAAAACTTTGAAGATTTGAGATAATTGTTAATGATTTGGCATTATGGAACAAATAATGCTAGTATTAGTTTATTCTCAAGCAAGCCTTGTGGGCTTCAGTCAAGAGCATAGTTGAACCGGTCTGTACGATAGATAGCTTATGGCTTATGTATACAGATGTTATGTTGGTCAACTTGGTTCTGGTTACTTGATGTGCAACTCTGTAAATCTGATCAGTGAATACAACTAACAACCATCTATTAGATTGAGTTGCAAATGTTTGAGCTATAAGATATTTTGTAATGTTTGTAGATCATACCTGAATGAAAAAGTTGAAACTACAGATAATTGATTTCTATTAACCAAAGACCAAAGTCTGATCTTGAGGCTAACATGCTATGACTAAAGTTAGTCCTGGAGACTTTAAGGTTAACAGTTCATCCCATTCCCTTAGTTTAATGCCCTGTTATGCAATTAAATGAAATGAATGAAGTGGCATTCTTACCATTGCAGCCTTTGGTAACCTGTGCAGCAATAATACTCGCATATTTCCAGCATTGTAGGAATTTCCTAATTATTTCTATTTGATGTTTGGCAGCTGGAAGTTGTTGGCCCTGGAGGACCTCCTGATGGACATGGCGATGATGATCATCATCATTAATTGCAACTTTTTGCAGGCTTCCTAATGGAATAAAATTGGAGAAGATGATGGAATGATGTCCAGTATACAGTTGCACCTTCAAAAGTTAGAAAAAGCTTTTGTCTTGTTTGGTTTTTATTGGCCCTTGGTTCTCGTGGCTGTTGCTCAGGCAACGTTTTGAGATGGTATCTCTCTGTTTTTTGTGGTTATTTAGACACAGGGTGGTCATCTGTTTGAACTATGGATCTTCTTAGGTTAACTCTAATGCATTGCCAAATAATCAATGACTACCTTTCCATTCTTTCATGAAACTTGCTGGTGTTAAGTTTTGAAGGAATCTTACCATCTTAGAACCCTTTAGTATTTTGGTTTCGTTGTGATTGGATTCTTGTATTATAATTCCCCGTCATTGTCGCCAGATGTTCCATTTTCTGTTTCATCCCACAGATCTGATAGTACCCATAACACACAATTAATCTAATAGACACTCATAAATCACGATGAAATTGGTATTATGAACAGGTGGGCGATAATTGCGAAGTACGAGTGTTTGCCTTTGTCACTACTAAAATACTCAACCAAGAAAATTGGCATTGTGTTCGGTACAAGGACAAAAGCAAAGGAAGAGAATCCAAGACTTTTTTGGTTTGAATCCATAGTAAAGAGGAGAATGAATACCTTGAAAGACAATTTCTTCTTCTTTCTATTTGTAGATGTCTGGTTTTGATTTCTTTTTTTGTTATTATTCTTATAAATGTTGTTTTACATAATGGGAAAAAAGTAGTTATGTCAGAATTTTTTATTTTGTTTTCAATAAAACACGTGATATATTATTACGTGTTATTAAGTTCCACGCTACTAAGAACTTCCGTATTATACCTAATTACGTGTGGTTCTTTTTCACGTGCTCTTCCCATTTTGAACGTGATATTCCATAAAGAATTTGTTCTCTCTAAAAGTGCTCTCTCCATTTATCCAATAAGCACTTTTTACCAAATGCTCCCAAAAAATCATTCCTACAAGCACTTTCTATTAGTTGCTCTTAGAAAAGCCTTTTTACTTAGTACAAATATGAAAATTTGACAAATCAAAAGAAAAATTCATCAAATTACTCTCAAAACCCTCTCTAAGCGCTTCTCAAGTGCTATCTTTATTCAATTCTTTCTATGTTAGTCTCCATCACCTGTTTTCTAATTCGTATCTTTACCTCCATTACAAAAACACTTAACGCTTCAATAACTGTTCCAATCTTTCTCTCTATTACCTTTTAATACATTTTGCTTTACTTGTTACAACATATCTTTTCTCCTTTCTAAAACAACCCTCTACACAAAAATTATAGTGTAAATTATATGTAGATCACTAACTCATTTTCTTATTTTCTCTTTACATTTATTTTTCTCAATTTTCAAGCTTGAGAACAACATAACTAAAGCCAAAATGGGGACAGGAACGTGAAACATAAAGAAAGTAATATATTCTTGGACCCAAAAAATAAAATAAAAATTAAGACTGATATATTCTCTGCAAGATGTATTCTAAACGTCTTTTCTTAGGATTTTGGCCTCCCAGAAGATTACAAATCAAGCAATCCTCCCAAAATGCTGTTATTAATTTGCTCAAAGCTGCAAAGGTTTGCCCCCCAAAAAAAAAAAAAAGAAGCAGAATAGATTCAAAATTCCCATCACTTTCTTTCCAATAATGAGCTTCCAATTAAATCTCTATTCCATTTGAAATAATAGTCAGGGGAGAGGGGGACAGATGCATGCAGACATAATCCCACGTTTAGCCACCTTTGTTCCATTCCAGAGATGAAATGAATGCCTTCTTTTGGTTCTTGGTACCTTCATTAGATGTTATTGTCCATAAGATTTACATCAAAGTTTATAAGCTTTTTTAGGCATTATTTGGTATCAGATTTGGATTTGGATTCACCCAGAAAATACCATTGGGGTCCCAACCTAATATGCTCACGCTTTGTTGCTGTGAAACACAAACCCAAAGAAAAGACGGCAACATGTTGCAGTCATGTCCATACCATTCATTAACAAAGGAAGATAGAATCCACACGATCTAAAGAACGTGGGAAAAAAAAATATACAACATGTAAAGAAGAAACACAATCCCAATACCTAATCTCACCACATATGTATATATATATATTCTGTCTTTTTCTAGGGGTTGTTCCACATGTGAAATTGGCTTCATGCATGGTTCATGAAAAAACAAAAAAGCCATCTTTAAGTTTCTAGGGGCCTTGGAAATTGGAAGCCACCCCAAAGGCCAGATATAGAATAGCAGCCTCTGGAATCATTGTTTTCTTCCTTGAAATCACAACGCACTTCTTTTAACACTCTTATTTTCTTGTTTTAAAATGTTTGAGGTATACATATGTTGCAAGTGTTCATGAGTTTATTATTCATTGTGTCAAGTCATTCATGAGTAACTAATTAGGCTTCAAAATAATTACTCTTTCAAATAAAAAAGTTATAATTCCCCCTGTTTTCATATTATAAAAATGGAGGAAAGCTCTTGGTATTACTGAATTCCCCTTGTTTTTCAAAAGATATTCAAATATGTAATGTGTGATATATATATATATATATATATATATGTATATGTATATATATAAAGTTTTTTTCAAAAATATCCCTCATAAATAAGGTGTTTTTGGAAATAATCTTCTCTATAATTTAAATTATTTTTAACTCAGAGAAATTAATTTTTGATAAAATTACCCTTAATGAAACCGACCCATATGTTAAGGTGTGCATATCAAATTGACTCATTTCTTTTGTGTTTTTCTCCCCAAATCATTTATCTCTGGAGTATTCCTTACTTGAAAAAAAAAATCTTTAAACATTTTGAGCATTTTAGAGTAGTTTTTGATACATGAAAAAAACCTTTGAGTATTTTAAGTATTTTGGAGTGATTTTTTATGCATAAAAAAAATCGTTGGAGCATTTTGAGCATTTTTCGCCAAGTAGGTATATTCGTTGATTATATTGTTAAATTGGATATGATGTGTTATTTGAAATTGTTGATTTTGTTAAATGAAATTTAATAGTTTTGGTGATTTTTAAATATTACGTAATTGGTTTTTGGACATTGCTTGATTAATTTTTAAGTATTGTGTGACTAGTTTTTAGGTATTGCATGACTAGTTGATATAACATTGCTTGATTAGTTAGTGAGGCATTGCGTGACTAGTTTTTAGGTATTGTCTAAAAATCAGTCACGTAATGCCTACAACTTAATTACGCAATGTCTAAAAATCAAAGACGCAACAATTAAATCATGCAATACTTAAAAATTAGTCTCACAACACCTAAAAACTAATGACATAATGTCTAAAAACTAATAATGCAATACCTAATAACTAATTGATTTACTTGTTCCTAGCTAAGTTTAAGTTACTAAAGTCAGATAGTGTTCTAATTTACAAATATGTCTAATCAATTTCAATTCCTTAACTTTAAGATTTTATGAATATAAACCAATAAATCCAATAACCTAAAACACATACTTTGATGTCATTTCTGCTCTTTAAGATAGCGAGAAAGAGCTGGATGGCAAGATAGACAATATTTGGCAAGATAGAGAAATCGAAATTTAATTTTAAAATTTTTTTCTGGATGGCGGGATAGAGAAAACCGAAACTATTTTAATTTGTCTGAAATTGTTTAAAAGGCATTGTTGTCAAGTTATGCCAAAAATTAATTAAAAATAATTAAAATTATAATAAATAATATTTTTGAATTGAAGTTATGAAAAAGAGTATCTCTCATAATTTTTTCATATATATATATATATATGTTCTCAAAGGATATCATTTTCAAACCTATCCAAGGAGAATAGTCACATTGGACTAGATAGCACGGTTGTCCCTTCAATCACTTATCTTTAACCTACATTCACTAATTAAATTATTTCCAGTTGCAAAATGTACACATACTAAAGACATAAAGAAACCCTACCTAGCTATATACCTTCTATGTTTCCTAACTCTCTAGGTCATGCATGAGAACCAGCTCTTTCCAATCTCCCTAGACGATATTATGCTTGCACTTTATTCAAATTGTCCAAGGTTAAATTATAACTTATAATGTCTTTCATAGAGGGAATTTTTCCTGCCCCATGTTTTGCAATCCAGCTTTGCAAATGTACTACAATTATATATGAATAGGGAAAAAATTTTCTGTTTTCTCTCTGGTAAATATATAGATATATATACATAGAACTATTAATTTTCTCCGAGAATTGATCCCAGAGAAAAGAAAAAAGAATACTAGTTTGCTTGAAATTTTTCAATATAATTCATTCTTTCAAGGAAAACTTACTGTGATTCTGTTGTTGAGAGAAGGGTTACCATACCAGCAAAATAAATTTTCTGCTTCTTACTACAATTTGTTTGCTAATTTGCCACCCAAATGGTATAGTATTAGTTTTTTCATTTCTTTTTATCAATAATAAGTGTTGAATCAATGCTACTTTCCACCATGTAGACATTAGATTCAAATGGCTAGTCTTTTCCATCAAGGTAGCCATATACCAGCATCACCACAATTATTTTTTATATTAATGTACCTTCCATCTTTAACCCACATTCACTCATTAGTTTATTTTTCACTGAAAATGAAAGTTATAGGGGAAACCTATAGCTATTGTCTGCATGGTTTCATGAAACGTCTAGTCAATACATGAGCAGGCACCAACTTCCTATTTGCCTAACACTTTATTCATAAAGTGTGATGATAAAACCCTTGGTTGGTTTTGTTTTGTTTTGTTTTTTTTTTCTTTTTCTGCAGAATCCTTGTAATAACTTTGATATTCACTGCATTTTGCGACCCAGCTAGCTTTGCAGATGAACAAGGAGAAAAAGATTGTTACTTGAGCTAGCTGCAACTTTTCTCTTTTGTATAGTTTATTTGAAGGTTCCAGCCTTTTCACCTCAAGTTATAATATAATTATATTAACCAAATTTGGCTGCAGAATTTATTTAATATGATTGATAAAAATTAGGCCACACTCAGGTGAGTAGTGCCAGCAGCATATGTCGTCTTTCAGTTATAATAACTCAAGAATCAATTAACTAAACTCAAAAAAATTGGTATCAGTCCAAGTATCTATACTTATTGATTGATTCTTGCCCCAAATGAATATGGTAGGGTAAGGGGAGGAGTTGACAACGATAAAGTTGGCCCAATTTTCTCCCAGAAAGGATGGAAAATATTACTGAAAAGTTGACCTAAAAGGTTACATCAGATGCCACCATTCAACACACTAACCTATTATGGCGTGTCATGTCAGCAGTATTTTCCCTCGGTCAACCAGTTAAATATAGAGTTTGCTT